TTGTTGACAACACAAATATATACATACATATATGCAAGAAAAAAAGGGGGCTAAAAATAATGAAAGCCTTAGTAATAAAAACAAAAAAACAACACTCAATAATATCAACTATGAACATGGACACAATATCTTGACTGTGTCTTGAAAATTAAATCATTATATAAATACATATATGCAACTGATTATTTCTTATTTAACAGTTAAAATATTTCATCCTTGAAAATGGCTAAATGTATAGCCGAAAGCGCTCGGATAAAAAAGAACATTCGGACAGTTTTTATATAATTCATCATCTGAAATGAAAACAATAATAGATCGCATGAGAAATTGTATAAAAAACTAAATCAAACCACCTTGTCTATCGTATTCAATGAAATCTCTCTCTCTCTCTCTCTATATATATATATATATATATATATATATATATATATGTGCGTGTGTTTGTGTGTTTGTGTGTGTGCGTGTGTGTGTGTGTGTGATAAAATTATCCGAACAAATTATGCAAGAAGGAATATATGAAATCTAGTTGGATGTATACATTTTTAAAATGTATTCTCTTGACAATCTTTTTCTTCATTTGCATCATCATCAGAACAACTGAATCCAATTCTTCAGGTTGCAATGTACCATTTCTTACAGAATATTTACGTACAGACATAAAGATCAGAATGTTAGTGTTACACTAGACAACCTTTCTTTTAAACATATTTCATTAAATATACCAGACAAGGAAGATTTAATTAAATGTTTATTTAGTTTTGTTAGTGTTCTTACGTTTTTCCGTTTGGTAGGAGTAAGGGATTACAGAAAATTTCCATAATTTTCATTGATCCAAGCGCTTTCGGCCATTTTCAATAGGGTCTGTTTTTTGATGCCGTTAGTTTTTCCTCATGTTATAACTGTTTATTATATATATATATATATATATATATATATATATATATATATATATATATATATCGAATGCTGCCAGAAAGGGGCATCATTTTCTTTAGTAGTTTTTTCTCGAATGTGCAGCCCCGGTTGACGTAATAAAACAGCGTTTAAAATAAAACTGGGCGTCTACTCAAATACTGACATCCAATAAAAATAACGTCTAAAGTAATACAAATATGTCGGATTAAAAAAATGAACTCCATTAATTCTTTAGGAATTGCTTTGTTTACATTTTGGATACGAAACTGAGCATATATATATATATATATATATATATATATATATATATATATATGTATGTAATACTCGGTTGGTAAGAATACTAATATTATACTAGTTGCTGAAATTTTAAATAGGTGCAAGCATAAGAAATCCTGGTTATTGAAATAGAGGGTCGGTTATGTATTTTTTGTTCTACTTTTGTCACATAGTTTTATGCTTTTTAGGTTTATTGCTAATTTTAGTATTTAGTGTCGGTTTTATCAATAAATGTTGTTCCCTGTCATTTTCTCTTTAGCCAGATTACCCTCAAAATCCGTTCAGGTGAAACCTAGGTAGGTAGTTCCTGGCTCTTTAGGATTTTTATATATATATATATATATATATATATATATATATATATATATGCGTGTGTGCGTGTGTGCGTGCGTGTGTGTGTGCATGTGTGTTTGTGAGTGTGTGTGTATGTTGTGTGTGTGCATGTAATTAATAATATCATATAAAGTAATGGACGTTGCCTATTTATGAGGAAGAAGCTGTGGAGTGATATTTATTTTGTAAATATACAAAAATGTGGCATGAGGCCAAAAGGGGTTTGGGGAAGTCTGGTCTTAGGTGTGTCTAAACTTAAAACTTAGCTCGCCACGATTACTGATCCATACATACCACAATATTCCTTATATCAAAACAACACATTCTTACTACAGCCATCATAATACATCAAAGTCTCTATGTAATCCTAACTAGTTCCCATATATACAATTTTGTCTGGGAGGGGATAAAAACTACTTTTTAAAAAAAAATTAAATCCAGTGTCTATATACAAAGTATTTTAAGATATCTTTACAAGAAACTAAACAAAATAGTGTTAGTAATACGTCCCCCACCACATACCCACAATCAATAATTGTGGCAGAAAGGTCAGTTAATTGGACGAAATTAATGCGGGACTTAAATAATTTAAAACAATCATTCGTCCAAGCTCTCACTCAACACACACACCCAGTCAAACACAACAACAAATATGAATAGCACACTCGAAATACGAAAAATGTCGCGCATCTATCAGACAACTCTGTACACTTAAAGGGGGGATGAGTGGTGGAATTAAACTAAAGAAAGTGGGGTGGGAGCAGAAATAAAAGAGGCCGATAATAAGCTTTACAGTAAAAGACTGTGAAGAGCGAAATTACTTTAGATACAGCAATAATATGAAAACGGAACGCAAACTGATCCTAATCAAGAACAAGGATCACTTCGCACCTAAGACGTATAGGCAGTTATCGCAGCGTTACACCAAGTTACCTCACATATACGGTCATCCTAAGATTCACAAAGACGGTATTCCGCTCAGGCCGATTGTTAGTTAATCAAAGATGCTCCCATCCTATCCAACCAAATGGTGAGCTTGGACGTGGTGAGTTTGTTCACCAAGGTACCCACGGAGGAGGCACTCCTCAGTAGTCAGAGACAAATTAGCCTCTGACTCTTCCCTAGAAGAACGGACCAGTATTCCAATAGATAATCTGATGGAGATGTTGACTTTCTGTACACAAACAACATACTTCGGAATGGGATCACACATATATCGACAGGATGAGGGCTTAGCAATGGGCTCGCCATTATCACCAGCAATGGCGAATATATACATGGAATACTTTGAAGAAATGACATTAGAATCTATATCTCTAAAGCCAACTCTATGGTTAAGGTACGTAGATGATACCTTCATACTCCGGCCACACCAGGAAGATGTCCAGGTTCTACTGGACCATGTGAACTCAATAAGACCTTCAATACAGTTCACAATGGAGAAAGAGAATAACAACACACTTCCATTCCTGGATGTACTAATATCTCGAACAGAGCATGGGTTTAAGACACCCGTATACTGTAAACCGACATTCACCGGACAGTACCTCAATTTCAACTCCCACCATCCATACAGCGTAAAGAAATGGATCGTCCGTTGCTTACAACACCGAGCGAAAGTCATAAGTGGCGACCCAGAGACGTTAGATAAAGAATTGGTCAGTATAAGTAGTACCCTACAACGTAACTATCCTGGGTACATAGCATCAGCCCCCCCAAACTGGGATAGGCGGGTACAAGAGGAGGAGGACAGCAACACTCAGAAAACAGTCTGCCTGCTTTATGTGAAGGGGTTATCAGAGAAAATACAAAGGATCTGCGGTCCATATAACATCAGGACAACCTTCAAAAGCTTGACGACACTTCGCAGATATCTCTCCCGAGTAAGACCCCCATAGAGGAGAACATGACTAAAGACTGTGTGTACGCTATCCCGTGCAGCCGCGGAAAGGAATATAAAGGAGAGACAGGCCGCCCCCTCAAGGTAAGGCTTCAAGAACACCAGAAATCTGTAACACGAGGGGAAATATAAAAATCAGGTGTGGCTGACCACATATGGAGAAAGAAGGGAGATCACCGCCCTCTGTGGGATCATGTTGAGATCATAGACAAGGAACACCATTGGAAAATTTGTAAACTTAAGGAATCAGTACATATGCTAGGCCACAAAAATCTCCTGAGCCGACCAAGCATAGAAATAAATACAATATGGGAACCAGTAATAAGGAGTGCCAGAGAAAAGCAATGATAACAACAAAGTTGCAATATGAGCTCTGATAAAAACATGAAATTATCAGCAAAAATTGCAATATGAGAACTGGTAAAAATGGTTGCTGAAGACATTAGGTTTATATTACCCAGAAATTCATACCCAGATGTCCTCAAGGACACATGGACACAGTGGATAAAGGCGTTGGTTAGATCCAGTGACAGACCCAAAGAGTGTGAGTTCAATACCCGGTTAAAGCAGTGGAGAACTTTCAGAGGGAAAATTAACAGGAGATAACTGATAACTGACATCCATCAAACATAGCATGTGGAACTAGAACAGTCTACCACAGTGAGCGAAATAAAGGGTTCAGTTCGAAATTCCAACCACCTGAAGAAGGCCGGAACGTACAACGGCCGAAACGTTGTGATAAATATGGCGATAAAGATGAGGACAATAGTCCGAATAATGAGCATAATAATAATATTCTTTGTCATTCAATATATGCTTAAGAAGCTGTGTGTTATTCAGGATTGTTTTTTTTATCATTTTGTGTTGTATTCAGTTGTCTGTCCTAGTAAGAAAGAAACAAAACAAAAACCCATTTTCGATTTCTTACATTGTTTACGCCCAAACCACAAAATAAAAAGAAAAAAGAAAGAAAAAATCACGTCTCAAATAGCCACATTTTTTAGCCGAAGAATTGCGCTTCCGGTTGCAATGGATGTTCTTTTTTTCGGCCTCAGCAACCAAGGCAAACACGAGTCAATGCCAATTTCCGTCGATTGATTAAACAGTTTCAACAGCGTCTCACTGGGCAGCTGATAGCCATGACAGTCATTTCCTGCCGAGCTCAAGTGACATTGTCAGGAACACGCACGTTGGAACATCGAAAATCTATCTCCGAGATTAACTCTTGTTAGAAGCATAAACTCACATGCAAGAATTCGAAGATTAATTCTTCATATTGGCCAGCAAATTGTTCTTGCGCCAAGTACATCCGAAATTGGTACGTATTACCCTCCCGTGCCAAAAGGAGGGGCTCGACCCCAAAAGGAAAATGTGATTATCGTGAGCAAGATACGCGACACCATGCCCGAAAACACCCACGCATTGCATGCGTATGATGTTGCAGATCAGTTGGAGGAAGGGAGAATTGGCGTAGTGCGCCTACGCATATGTAAAACTCTTCCACTCAACCAATCGGCTGCTTCGTCATGGTCTATAAAATGAGTGTGCCTGAAGGCTTTGTCAGTGGGGGCCGATGAAGCCGACTAGGACGCCAAGAGACGACCGCCCTGTACGAGAGACGACTGTCCTGTTCCAGCGGATCCTTTTTGGTGTGACGGCTACAGAAGGTTCAGGGGATATAATTGTCATAACTCTTAGCTGCCCAGTACAAAGAAGTAGGGACCCACCCCAAGATCCTACCTGCCGGGTTGATGCTTGCGATCGCAGGTATGATATACCGAATATGACTAATATAGTGTAATAATTTAACTGCCCAATAGAAGTCTGTTTTTCTTATCATACATTAATTAGCTACATCGGTCATACCACTACCTCCTTGTGTAAACGTCTCACATATCACTTATTTGACAAAAGTGTCGTAAAAAGGATTTTAGCTGCCCCCACCACAATCTACAAGAACTCATAAGGAAAATTCTGGTTGAAAATACGATCAACCTTCGTAAATCCCGTAACCGAAAACATTTCGCTGTCAGAGAAGCCCTATATATAAAACATCTAGTATTAATCTCATTAATATTTATTGTTATAGTGGAACACACCTATTCTATAGTTAATAGACTCTCCCACCTATAATAAGTAGGAGTAGTAGTAGCAGTCGGCAGTGAGTAGGTCAGTGAGTCGATGTCGGACGACCGTTAGTCGGATATTAAAGTATCAGCCACCACAACTAGATTACTGCGTCATTACCTATTATATCAAGTTCCTAACGTTTTGTACGTCGAACCTATTTTAGGACCGACTTAGTACAAATACAAGCCTCCACTGTGAAACCACTACATAACACTTATATTAAACGGCTATCTCTGGCCTAAGAAAAATACGAAGGAAATTACACTTTATAACAATTATCAAACCCAGGATCAGGGAAATAGCCCGGTGGCCATATGTTCAACAAAGAAGGTTCACAGCCAGGGGGAAAAAAAACCTTTGTATGGTTAGCCGAACATTTTCATGTGCATGTTACCCTTACATTTGAACTTCTACTCGTCCTGATTAAGACGATTAAGTCTTGGCCCTCATTGGGAGGACGGACCAACATGCGTAGCCACAATACGGAACACTCGCTGAGGTCTGCTATCTTGGGACGTTAGAGCCATCATGAATCAAACCCCTGATCAACAGAAGCCGTATCAAAGCCGTAATCGAAGCTGGTGGCGGTTGTATTAAATAAACTTAGGCTTTTTGCATGTATGTAAGAACATACATAATATCTTCATGGAAAGATATATCGTTTTCTCTGATAAATGATACGGCTACCTTAAATTAAAAATTGTTCTCAAATAACTGACGCAGACATGTTTATCTTGCTAGGTTTTAAACGACGAATAAGTTACTTTGCTAGTCCCGGTAAAATAGACATAGGGGCTGTTTTGTTCGTCCCGGTAAAATAGACATCGGGGCTGTTTTGCTGGTCCCTGTAAAATAGATATAGGGGCTGTTTTGTCAGTTCCTGGTAAAGTAGACACCAAGGTTATTTTGTCATTAAATATAAACAGTGTTTTAGAGTAAGAATATATTATATTTGAAATCGTCAGCGCAGTGTCTGTGTGAGCTGTGTAGGAGAGACTTGAAAAACATGGATTCTGTGACTGTTGTCTTCAGTGGGTGCAACTGAAGTGTATTGGCAAGAGAACCATGCCCAAGGGCAAGTTTGAGTTTTACAGAGACTTTTATGCCTGAAGTGCTTAAAATATTCAGAGACTTCTATATTTCTTTTAATAATTGATGATGAATAAATGATTTTAACTTGTGTTTTAACAGTTGATGGGGGAAAACATTTTAAATTGTCTTAACAAATCATGGCGGAAATAAATAAACTCCCGTGTTAAATTTGTGTGTTGTTATTTTTAACATTACTTGCCTTCATAATAATAAAACTATTTACCGAAAAAATAGCTTGATGAGGTCTATTTTACTGGGATTGGTAAAATAAGCTTAAAAGCATGTCTGTGTATTTACCGGGACCGGCAAAATAGTCTCTACCTTTTAAAAAAAATGTACGAATTCAGGTTTGAGTTGATTAAAAGACGACTCCGAAATTGCACGTGTTCCTAGTAAAGTCATAAATGAGTCACATAATGTGAATAGTTAGGATATATCTATATCTATATACAGCAGTGGTTCTCAAGCTGGGTCCAAATGGACTCTGGCAGTCCATGTAACATTATTGGGGATTCCCACAAAAAAGATGGCAAATTGAGGGTCCACGATAATATTTTTGCGGTCCATAGAACAATTTCACTTCCGAACGTTTGTTCGAACTGAGAATTGAAATATGATTATTAATTTTAAATATTAATAAAATAAAATAAAATAAAAATAAAAATTAATTAATATAGAATATATAAATAAAAAAAATATTAATAAAAAAATTAATTTAATATATAAATAATATAAGAATTATATATGGAGGGAGAGTTACCAGTATTATTCCCGTTAGCAACGGGGACAGTTTCCGACAAAGCCATTCACTAGATTTATTAATCTCAAGTTCATTAGTTAATAAATATTTTCCCAAGTTTTAAATATCCATTTTAAGGAAGAAAAATATTATTGATCGTATTCTGAAGTGATCTTCCAAAATTTCGTAGCGAACAGCAAATCTTAATTGTTTACGAATTTAAAGGATACCGCACGTCTCATATGACTTCGCTGATTGGTTAATATATATGAAGATAAAAATTCAAATTTCGGGAGCCGGTCCGTGTACGAGTTTAAGTAATCTATAGTATTTTCCTACAATTCCGAAACGGGGTTCCACAAGTGTGGTACTACAGGCAGATGGTGAGAATACCATGGACAGAACATGCGAGGAAATAGGAAGTTTAAAGAAAAATAGGATCTGCAAGGAAACTTACACTTACAATCAGAAAGAGGCAGCTGCTGATGATGCTGGTGCACGTAGGAAGGAGAGAAAGTCGCACAACGAAGTTAACGAAGGCAAGATAATCTGGGATCAACTAATATACTTAACAGGTCTGCATGAATCAATGGCATAGAAGGAAAAATAAGGGGGGTAAAGAGTAAAAAAGAACGAGAAACTGGAAATCCGTGATCGGCTTAAAAGAATCTGGTATATAAAATAATGAATCAAAGTATTAAAGAAAAAAGGAAAACTTCACTAGAAACAAAGAAAAGAGTATTGAAATGCTATTGAATATCAGTCCTCATATATGGCAGTGAATGTTAAACACTTTCTTCAGAGATGAAGAAGAGAACTAAAACAAATACCATAGACTGAACAGAGATAGGGAAATATCGTTAGAAATAAAGAAAAGAATGCTGAACTATGATGTAATATAAGTCCTCCGATATGGCAGTGAATGTTGGACAATTTCTTCACAGATCATTAAGAGAATTGAAGCAAATACCATAGACTGAACAGAAATAGGGAAATATCGTTAGAAATAAAGAAAAGAATGCTGAACTACGATGTAATATCAGCTCTTCTTTATGACATTTAATGCTGGGCAATTTCTTTACAGATGAAGAAGAGTCCGGAAGCAAATACCATAGACTGAACAGAGATAGGGAAACATCGTTAGAAACAAAGAAAAGAGTGCTAAACTGCTACGTAAATATCAATGTTTCTGTATGTTAATGAATACTGGACAATTTCCCCACAGATGAAAAGGAAAAAACGTATTTGACTCATTTTGTTTGCTTTTCTAGAAGACATTTCGCTCTGCTTTAACCATCTTCTTTTGTTGGTTCAGCAAACTTTTCTCTGTAACTGCTTATCACCAACGAACGACTTTAGGTCGATTGATTAAAGTGTGCGCGCGTCTTTTTTTTTTTTTTTTTTTCTTTTGTCAAATCAAATTTTGTTTAATTATGTTCTGTTTATTTAAAGTCTGAATAAGAAAGGAAGTTCGTTATTAACCGGTGATAACATCTCTTCTCATTTGTAAATATTTTGCTACGAAATAGGCACTAAAATTTATTGCTTTGTTCCGGTTTCTGTTTATCGTTTATCTTCTTTCTTTCTTTCTCTTTAATTTTTTATATATTTCTTTTTTTTTCTTTTTTTTTCTTTTTTTTTATTTTCTATACAGTTCTTTTGTTCATTTTCTTTCTTTCTCTTACATTTTTTATAAATTTCTTTTCTTTCTTTTTCATTTGCGATACCGTTCTGATTTCTTTTTGTCGTCTGTTTCGTTCTTTCTATGAATTTCTTTTTCTTTTCCATTCTGTCTATCTTTCTTTCTTTTCTTTCTTTTTGTTTGTTCGTTTGTTTTTTGTTTCTTTTTTTCTTTAAAAATAATATGTATCTCAGCCTGTTAAATCTATCTATCTATCTATCTATCTATCTATCTATCTATCTCAAGCAGTTCAAATCTATCTATCTCGGTCTAGTTAAAATCTATCTATCTATCTATCTCAAGCAGTTCAAATCTATCTATCTCGGTCTAGTTAAATCTATCTTTCTATCTCTGTTCATATCTATCTATCTATCTATCTATCTATCTCAAGCAGTTCAAATCTATCAATCTCAAGCAGTTCAAATCTTTCTATCTCTGTTCATATCTATCTATCTATCTATTAAATCTATCTATCTATCTATCTATCTATCTCAAGCAGTTCAAATCTATCAATCTCGGTCTAGTTAAATCTATCTTTCTATCTCTGTTCATATCTATCTATCTATCTATCTATCTATCTATCTATCTTGTTCTTTCTTTCTATTTGCCTGTCTGTTTCTTTCTTTCTCTTTCCTTTTTTTATACATTTCTTTTTTTTTTCTTTTTGTATGCCGTTCCTTCTTTCTTGGTTTTTCTGTCTGTTTCGTTCTTGTCTTTTAAGATATATCTCAGTCTAATAATATCTATCTTAGTCTGTACATATCTATCTATCTATCTATCTATCTATGTCAATAGATACCGTCATTTTTTCTGTCTGCCATTCTGCCTGTGTGTTTGTTTCTTTTTTATTTCTTTATGTATTTCTCTTTCTTTTTCTATTTCGATACCGTTTTTCTTTCTTTCTTTCTTTCTTTCTTTCTTTCTTTCTTTCTTTCTTTCTATACAATATTCTCTTCCGTCTTTTCGTCATTCCCTCTTTATTTATTTTACATTTTTCCTTCTTCATTATCCCCGCAGATTTTTTAACGGCCGAGCCATTTCTTCAAAGATTACCGAAATGACAGCCGACATTGTAAGTGAAAGCAACCATTTAATTTCTATGCAAATATGAAAAGAAAGTAACATCTTCCCATATCGAGACATAAGATTTTCTTCTTGCAATCAATCAACTTAATTTGATCATTTTAAAAATGCATCGCTTGAGTGGAAATTAGAAAGATGTCAGTAAATAGCGTTGTAGTCAATTCCCGAGTAATTATACTAATATTTAAACAGCATTTAGAAGTTAAATACATCGCGTTGGCATTTTGGGGGCTTTTGGAAAAGGTTAAAGAATCTGTTTGATTGATTTCTGAATTTTGTGCCATAAGCGACATCTAACGCCGCTTGTACAATACCCACACCGGACTAACTTTATATTATGCGGCTTTTTCACTTTTTTCTTCATCCTGTCACGTCTTATGCTCGTCTGATGAAGTTATTACTTTACCGATTAGCATATGAGCACATCAATGGCGATTTCTCCTTCACATCCTGTTGTAATGGAATGTTCCTGTTGTAATGGAATGTTCCACACTCACTATCGCCTAAGTGGACTGACTATATCAGTAGATATATATAGTAAGCACAGGATATACCTGGCGGGCTTGCTTCGTCAATGAGTTGGAGATTCGTCTCTAGCTGTTCTGGTCAAACTGACTGCCTTTGGGCAGAGATGAACTCAAACGAGCCTATGCCGAAGGGCAGAGTCTCGTCTGGGGAGGTAGAAAACTACCCGACCCCCTATTGTTACGGAGTCTACGGGGAATTTTTGCCCGAGTCCACGAGCTCGGTTTTACCCCGCAAATAAAAAAGGCCTTGTGCCACATCTTGCCTCGCGGGGTGGTGAGGTAAATAACTGCTATGGTCCAAGTTCCTTGTACCCCGGTGATGGTCCAAGGTTAGAACCAATGAAAGAATAACACGAACACAGGTATGGAATGCAAAGATATATTACAACAGAAATATAATACAAAGAAGTAGAAGTATTAGAAATGACTATCAGATTTGGTTAGAGTGAACTATGTTGTCTCGACAAGTATCACTATTCCAATGTCCTTACAATATACTTTCAATTATCTCTCCTTGTCTTACAATCTCCTCATACCTCTGGAGAGGCGCAGTATTTATAATGTCAGGAATAGTCCATTATTATTATGGGTAAGTTCCCATAACAATAACCTTGCTTCGTCAATTGGTTGGAGATTCGTCTCCAGCTGTGCTGGTCAAGCACTCTGCCTTCATAGAGGGCCCAGACGAGGCTATGCCGAAGGGCAGTGTCTCGTCTGGGGTGGTAGGCAGCTAAAAAACCCCGTGCGGTCTACTGGGAATTTTTGCCCGAGCCCAAGGGCTCGGTTTTATCCCCGCATTAAAAACGGCCTTGTGCCACATCCTTCCTCGCAGGGAGGTAAGGTAAATAACTTTGCTTCGGGAATTACTAGCCTGCTAACCAATTCCCTGTCTTTCAGTAGTGTATTCTCTTGTACAATAAACCTCTCTTTTTTTTCATCTACGCCCGTATCGCTGTTCCTTTCACTCGAGTACCACCTTTGTCTGTTTGTAACCTCTTTAAGAATACAACACATCCGTCGGAAACCATTTTTCAAGCTCCGATTTTGCTGAATGTATAGATCCGATACAGGAATTTGGAAGTCGTTGATGTCTGTTGAAGGCCCAAACACCAAATCATTTCGAACCTCATCAGAAGTACGACAAGGATTTAATGAGAGATCTAGTATCTTTAAAATGTTCATAATATCAACTTGGAACTATCCCTTATGCGAATAAAGTTATTTAACCGCTGCTTAAAGGATAAATACTTCCCAAGCCTATTTAAATTGTCAAGCGTATGCCCGGTTTTCGAGAACGCAGGTGATCACTCATCCCCCTCTCAGTAGAGACCCACCAGTCTCATCAATATCATTAGTAAGCTTTTAGAGGCTATAATCAACAAGAAGATCACTGGACACCTAGATAAGAACAGCCTCTTGAGCGACAAGCAGTACGGGTTTCAATCAACCCGATCCACTGCTGATGTTCTACCTAACATTAATCACAGAATCAATGAGGTTTTTGACTACAAATACACCCCAAGTGCATTAGATATTTATAAATCTTTTGACAAGCTGTGGCACAAAGGTTTACTGCTCAAGCTCTGTAGCAATCAACGCAGGCGTCTCCCAGGGGTCACTTCTCGGACCAACCCACATTTTCCTTCGCATAAATGATCTAACCCAGAGTACACTCAGATCACTTGTGAATATCTATGTCGATGATACAACGATATACGGGTTCACATCTAAAACAATTGATGATCAGAGACTGGAAGCTGATTACTCATCTGATCTAGCTCTAACATCTCAGTGGGGGGAAACTGATTAGTTATATCCAATACCTCGAAAAACCAAACTATTTAAATTCCATTATCACCAATCGGGCTCCGAGCTATCACCATTCACCATGAACGGATGTCACCTCTGGGTGGCTCCGTGCCTTAGAGACTCAAACTTACCTCTGACATCAAGTGGAACTCGTACATATGATCCTTCGCTAAAGATGCAGGTAAAATAGATTCCCAAGTTGGCATCTACGCGGACGACACTACAATTTACCCCTGCCTCAAAAACAAATCTAGTGTCGGTGACAAAACTAACCTGGCCGTGCCTCTTGAAATGGACCTCCAATCGGTTGTTAATTGGGGCAAGAATTGGCTGGTCAACTTTAACGCCTCAAAACCTAAACTACTCTCTATTAATCACCATAGAGATCCTTCCCTACCCCCCATTAGAATGTCTGATAGTCACCTTCTTGAGAGCAACTCTCTGGGTCTGCTCGGTCACACGTTGACTGCTGACCTGAGATGGAACAAATACATTGAGTCAATTGCATCGTCCACCGCGAGGAAACTTGGCTCTCTGTGCCGCGCCAGGAAATTTTTCTCTCCGGAATCGATACTTCAAATATACAAATCAACCATTCGCCCTTGCATGGAGTATTGCTGCCATATGTGGTCTGCTGCACCTTCTGTTTACCTCGGAGGAGTTCTTGACAAGATCCAGTGACGGATATGTAATATAATTGGCCCTGATCTGGCATCTCGCCTACAGTCACTCTCTCACAGACGCACCGTCGCCTCTCTCTGTCTTTTATACGAATACTTTCATGGTAAATGCTCCGATGAGCTGCTTTCACTGGTTCCCAGACAATGAATTCAAGCGTCCTACGAGGCTGGCATCCCGCTCTCACCCTTTCACTGTAGAAACTTTTAAATGTAGCCGTCTCTTCTACTCCAATAGCTTCATACCTGGTACCTCTCGGCTGTGGAACACCCTTCCCAATTACTGTTTCCCTGAGAGCTATAATCTCCAACTGTTCAAATGTAATGTCAATCGACATCTCCAGTTACCTTGATCTATCCACTATCCCTCTCCTCATCCTTCCTTCTATCTCTGCTCTCGCTCCAAAATCTTCTGCAACCCCCTGCATCCTAGTGGCTTCACGCCTTGCTCGGGGCGTAATGCTTAAAAAAAAAAATGATCGGCTCCTTGTGACGCTCTAGTAAGTACCTGACTCCTCGTGATATCCTCTACTTTTACAAGAGCTAGATCAGGCCAATAATGGAGTACTGTTGCCATATTTGAGCAGGAGGTATTTCCGGTCTCGATAGTGCCCAAAAGCGTCTCTGAATCCTTGTGGGTGACAAATTATTTTTCGCCTTTCAAGGTCTCTCTCTCTCACCGGCGGTATGTGACGAGCCTCTCACTACTCTATCGCGCTACTACCATCGAAAGTGGTCGGACGAACTACATTCGTTGTTTCTGCCAGGTCTAACCTAGGACCCGCAATGGCTTTCACATTGGTGAAGAATATTGATTATTTTATTGCTGAAGACCCACCCATCATCCCCACTATGAACACCTACGTAACACTAACTCTTCAGTCAATGAATTTCAAATATTTCCTGTATGGAAAGAGTTAAGATCAGCATTAATCCGGCCGAGGCTATGCGGAAGGGCAGACTCTCGTCCTGGGAGCTAGACAGACCCGATCCCGTTTATACTGGTTCTACAGGGAATTTTTGGTCGAGTCTAAGGGCTCGGATTACCCACGTTAAACTCGGCCTTGTGCCACAGCTACTCTCGTGTGTGTGTGTGGGGGGGGGGCTAGTAAATATTGTCTAGCTGGAATCTTTTCCAGCTGTGCAGGTCAAATTCTCTGTCTCCGAGCAGAGATGATCCCCAGACAAAGCTATGTCGAAGGGTAGACTCTTCTTTCGGGAAACAGCTACCCGACCCCCGTTTTATACGGTTTTTACGGGAAATTTTTGGCCGATCCTGCGGGCTCGGATACCCCACATTAAATTCGGCCCTGTGCCACATCTTATCGCGTGGTGAGGTTAGTAAATATACTAGCTGGGATCTGTTAGTCAGATTTTAGCTGTTGTTGAATTCTCTGCCTTCGGACAGAAAGGAACCCGGACAAGGCTATGTGGAAGGGCAGAGTCTCGTCTGGTGAGGTAGACAGGCCCGAACCTGTTTATGCGGGGTTACGGGGAATTTTTGGCCGAGCCTATGGGCTTGGATTACCCCACATGAAATTCGGGATTTGTTGAGCACGACTCAGACTTACGCGAGATCTACCGACCTTCCAATAGTAACACTCAGTACTTGATTGACCTGCGATGACCTTGTGAATAACTGTTACCTTTATTCTTATTGTACTGTTTTTGTTTTGTTTTTTGACAATGAGCCTTTAATTATTTTATCCACCTTGTTTTTCAAGTATATATTCCTTTTAGCACGGAATATAACATAAACCCAGTTTCAGTTGGAAGAGATTGATTTTGCTTCATTTAGAAGAATAAAGAAAGACAAAGTGGTTTCTGAAGTTTCATTATAGACTAGCAGCATGGCTCGGCGTTGCTCGTGCTTGATTCAAAAATCGTACGACACATACAGCAATCGCTATCACTTGACTTAAAATATTTTTGCCCTTCCTTGCCTTTAAAGGAGTACCCTTTTCCGTGCTGATGTTGCTACATGCCTTACTTCTTGCCTATCTCACACTGCGAAT